CGCGCGGCTTAAAAATCTTTTTATTTAAACGCCGATATAAAAGACGATATACCTACAATATACGTGCATACATACATATATAATAATGAACGGATGAGATACACTGATTGGATATAAAAGATTTGTACTTTATTTTGCAAAAATACTTGGTAATTTTTTACAAAAAGTTGCACAGATCATCTTAATCTTGACAACATATAGGTACGTTGTAGATGGTATATTTCTGACTAATTTACGTCTGAAATTAGATGGTGCTCTTTTATAGTTTTTGTGATATTTTAAATTGAAAATATAACTATACATATATACAAAACTAAGCCGAGAATCGTAAATCGTCATTGATGATGATTGCATGGGCAAAACAAAAAGGCAAAGCTCTTGTTTTACTCGGGTTTGAAGTGCAGAAAAAAATGAAGCTCTTTTTATGTACGCCCATGCATCGACTTTAATGTGTAAACATGCAATTAATGCAAATTTGTATTGAAACAAACTTTGTATTGAATTAAACTATCACGCTTGTTTGCATAAGCGCAACATTCTTTATTAATTTTTTAATGAATAATAAAGGATAGTGTAAATCAAATTTTTTTCAAAATTCTTTAAAACATTATCATCTTCTAAATATATGCCAAAGTCATATGTCACAGTCATATGTTAAAGTCATATATCAAAGATATGTCATATTTTTTGTTGATATATATCATTTCTACCTTACCTATATACTATGTTTTCCTATATACTATAAACGTAGTTTAAAAATTATTGAATTTTAAAATCCTCTTTAACATATGTCAAGATTAAGTATTGTACAAATTTTTGTAGAGAATTACGAAATACTTTTTCAAAGAATAATATCATCATATATAGTTGTAAATTTGGTCTAAAAAGCATTTTAATTTTGTTTAATATTTTGTTCTTAGAAAAATTTTACAATTTTCTAAAATAATATGGAGAAAAAGAGCATTTCGGAAAAAGAAACATTTTTAAAATATATTGTTATTGAAGTATATTACAAACCATACAATTTCCGCTTCTGAAATATAAATAATTTTAAAATAATTTCAGTGATATTTATAATTCCTATAAATTTAGACTGTTAAAAAATACAAAAAATCGATACTTAATGATTCATTCTGACTTGATATGTGTTTGGAAATACGTCGACCTTTAATTTTTCATAATTAAATTGATTCTCTTATTTACGAATGCGCTCGAGTTTTCCCTGAATGGGAAGTAAACGCATGATGGTATTATGTTTGTTCTTTTTATTGAATCGTCCCGGATCGAATTTATATTGATTGGGATTGCATTCCGCATCATAGTGCATATCAAGCATCGATATATAAATTAATGTATTCTTGTCCAGAACGAGATTCAGATCAAACTAGATTCCGCATTTGATCGATATTCGTCATCGTGCATTCCAAGAACACGGCAATGTCAAACACATTTTCAAAAATATAACTATGTTAAAATAATTAGATTGACGACAATATGTGACATTTATGCACATTTTTTAAATACATTTTTCTTTTTTTTTTTTATTCTTACATATACATCAACACACATACAATATCCAAACAAACCGAAGCCTTAAAACGCCTAAACCTAATGTAAGACTCGCTTATAAATAAGACGAATATTTTAATTAAATAATTGATATTTATATTGATAATATTTGAATTTTGTTCGCTATAAAAATTCTTTGATAGTAGGGAATAATTTAAAATAATAATTTAAAATAATAATTTAAACTAATAATGTAAAGTATTCAGATAATTAAGTTATATGTGATCTTGTTCGTCGAGCGCGTTAAAGAATTCTTTTTTAAGCTTATTATAAATAAAATTATAATATTTTTTTTGTATATAGCCTTCGCGGCATATATAGTGTGTTCTTATCAACATCCGCTCTCGTTATTTGTGAGCGTCATCGTGTTTTTGCTAAGTAAGT